TATTCACTGAAGCTGATGTATTTTTAGGAGCATCTAAGAAGCAAAAATAAAAGATTGATATTGCAAAACTAACTGGCTTACTGAGAAGGTTGAGTAGCTAATATTGCTGTCAGTTACTGTATACAATGGCCTAATTATTTAGACATAATATATGAATGCATTTGCATTAGGTAACAAAATATCAAAACAAGTGACATTTATTTTAAGGTAGATGCTATTTGGTTTGATATTTTTGTTATTTAATGTGATAATACACAGACATTGTGTGGCTGAAGTGTCCAAACGTGTTCAAATATGTTTTGGGGCCACTGTGTATATACATTTTCACCCTATTATTCATATAAAGAGACTGTTTCACCATTTACTGACTCTCATGACAATCCAAACCGTGTGCAACACAGAGCTGGAGGTAATCCCTGAAATTGAAATGTTTAAAGGGGCATCTGAGAAGAAAAGATAAAAGATTGATAGAGGAAGGAATAACTGTATGAATGAGGTACTGTATGAAATTTATGAAAAAGTATTGGGATGCAAGCTTCATTTAATGCATTTGCATGATGATATTTAGACATTATGTGTGGCTGAAGTGTCCAGAACTGTTCAAATATTTTGGGGCCACTGTGTATATATATAGGGTTCAAAACGTTTATATATATATATTTATACTTATGATCTCTGTTTTACTACTGGCTCTGTCTTCCTCACACTGGTTAGAAAAGCGTGATGGTAACTGTGAAAAAAATGTTTTTTTTTTGTCACAGTTAAGATCACACTTCTCTAACCAGTGTGAGGAAGACAGAGCCAGTACTAAAACAGAGATCATAAGTAGGCCTACAGTGGCATTCGAAAGTTTGGGAACCCCTTGCAGAATCTTTGAAAATGTGAATAATTTTAACAAAATAAGAGAGATCATACAAAATGCATGTTATTTTTTATTTATTACTGTCCTGAGTAAGATATTTTACATAAAAGATGAACCCTTCGTTCTTAATACTGTGTGTGGTTACCTGGATGGTCCACGACTGTATTTTTGTTTTGTGATGGTTGTTCATGACTCCCTTGTTTGTTCTAAACAGTTAAACTGAGCACTGTTCTTCAGAAAAATCCTCCAGGTCCTGCAGATTCTTCAGTTTTCCAGAATCTTTTGCATATTTGAACCCTTTCCAGCAGTGACT